TTCTGATTATCTGCACCAGAGACAAATTCTTGATTGCCTTGTCAACAAATTCAGTGCCCAAATAACTAGGGATTTTTATGGCTGGGGAAACTCCAGATATATAGCATAAGGGAAGAGGCAGGGATGAGGGTGGGGTAATTGAGGCCGTGATCTATCTCCAGCAATTACAAGTTGTGCTCCTCATCAGACTTAGCTCCTACACCAAATTGGTATTTATCTGGATGGAGAAGTGTAAATAGTGGGCACCCTGGGAGTAGAGTTGGGGTTATCCCCCTTTTTTTTCTTCCTGAGATGAGCTGAAAGAGAGGGCACTCTTAAGTTTGCATAAGACACTAAGGTAGTCTGGGTGATACAATTCAAAGTTCGGTAAAATCCTCTACAGGAAGAGATTTCATACCTGAGGGAATGGACAGAAAAATGACTGCCAGTTGGGAAAAAGATACTTAGGGAATGATAGAGGGAAAACTCACTTATAGTGAGAGGCTATGGAGCCTAGTAGTTAGGCACGTGAGCTGTGGACCCAGACTACGTCGATTCATGGCCCGGGTCTACCACTTAGTAGCTGTATGGCCAGGCACAGATTACTTAATTTCTTGGTGCCTCACTTTCTTCATCTATAAAACAGGAATAACAGTAGTACCCACCTCATTGGTTTGTTGTGAAGATTAAAGGAATTGATGCACATAATACGCATAGAGCAATGTCTGGCCCAGAGTAGGTGCTTAATAAATGCTAGTGATTACTGTTCTGTAAGACATCACCAGGTATGTCAACAAGATCAGCAAGATGCACGAGAACTAGCACCACAAGTATTCTATATTCTTGTTGTGTTGAGAAAATCCAATGTATTTCCTCTTTGACTGTGGAATGTGTGTGTTTTTGCTAAAACAAGAAAGAAGGTGCGCGAAAGGGCTACTAAAACGAAGATGGGAACAGAGGGGCTTTCACATAAGGAGGTTAAATAGATTGGGTTCTGGTCTGGAAAAATGAAGACTGAGATGCACTAGGATGAATTTTGTGAGAGACAGGAATAGAATGAATAATAACTTGTTTATGAAATACTGGAAAATTAGAACTGGCGTGAAAGACGAATACTTTGAGGTGAATACTTAAACAGATGGTTACTTGACTGTGCTTGCTGGGAGTCGCTCAGTTATGGAGCTCGTTAAGCTCGGGAGTTTCAAAGTAATCCTAATGATGGGGGTGGGTTATGGTCCTTTAACTATCAAGGGTCATTAGGGATGTTTGTGATAGGGTCCAGTCCAGCATTTGTAATAACTTATATTAATGTAGTATGTAGCTGTTTCAAAACACTCAGCAACCTTAATTCACTTGATTCCCACAACAGTGAGCTCCTGAGCTTACACTGTGGGCAAGTCTCTGCAGGGAATCAAAAGGTGAGAAAGATGACTCCTGTTGAAGGTTCTGATCTGTGTTGCCACCCAGAAAACACTGTAATTAAATTAACTTAATTTGAAGGTTTCATGTAGTTGGTTCACTTTTACTTACTTGTAAGGTCTTGAGACCAGGGAATTTTTGCTTACTTTTTGAGTTCAGGATTGGTATTGTGAAGAAATTAAGGAAATAAAAGTTCTCTTTTTGTTATTGTTTTGCTTTCATGAATTCTATCAAGGTGATACGCTAATGTCAACAGAAAACTTATTCTTATATTTATTTTTATTATTAGAGTAGTTACTCATAAATATCAATTTTAGAGCTCTATGTTAATTTAGAGACCATCTTCTTCAATTCCTCCTTTCGCCACTGAAGGAGGTGGGCCCCTTGGGTGACTTTTACAAGGTGGCAAAGCTTGGACCAACGCCCAAGTTCTAGTCTCTGGTGTTTTCTTTCCCATCAGGCTGCTTCCCCCAGAGGATCAGTGTGATTGTAGTTGAGCTTATTTCTGTGTACACACAGACTCAGATGTGTTATGATTTATCTTGGAGCAGACTTATTATGAAGCCAATGAAGCTTAAGCTTCAGGGCCCCTCACTTGTATGAGCCTTGAGCGGGGAGAGGAAGCTAGGTTGCAATCAGGAAACATTTCTGTATAAACGTTTCTGGCAAATGACCTAAAGAGGTAATGTAAGAGATGGACTTGGCTTTCCAAGGCTCCAGTCATTTGTTGTGACCTTTCTCACATTCTAAGAAACAGAAACTCCTCTAGTACCTATTTTCTATTTGCAGTTTTGTATTCCTTTTCTTAAAGAAGTACCCCTTCCCTGCTGCAAGATTATAAATTTCAGGCTCTGTGAAACCTGATTTGCTTCTGATGCCCAAAGATGTAATCAGTTGGAGATTTCATTGTAATATTTCAGATTTTGATTTTTGAATTAATTTTTATTAAAAAAAATTGAATAGATTTAAATTACTTCTATTTTTATGTTTCATTTTCATTTTAGTTTTTGTTATAGTAAGAAAATAACAAGTTGTGTTAAAATTTTGTAAGCAAAAATGGTAGCTCCCTGCCCCAGCCTTCCCCACCCCTTACTTTTGTTCTCGAGTCAAGCACTCTTAATTCTTTTAGATATTTTCCCCTACTGCTTACCTCTATGTTGTTTTTTAATAACTTGCTATCTTAATTGATACTTTTATGTCAATTTACAATAATATAAAATTTTATATCAATAATACAATAGTATTGTATTACTATATCAGTTGTATGTTGACTTCCTGTAATGGTAGCTAAGGATTTAACTTTAACTCTTAAAATTCCTTCTCTCTCCTCTTATTTCCCGCAAATAGTCACATCACAATTTTTGGTTACCTCTATCATCACTATTTATATTATGATAGCCATGCAAATATTATTTACAGCAAAAGCAAGTAGAATCCTATGGTATCCTTTCTTGTTCAACTTTTTATTTGTCCTAAATTATCTTATTTTCTTTTGCTTAATTTTCTATTTTATCTATCTGAGACTAACTCTCCTTTCTTTTCATAGAGCTTTTTGTTTTCCCCAGAGTCTGTCCATAATTGCTTTGTTGTTCCTTTTACTTGATTTTCTGTGTATCTTGCCAAATACATCATCAGAACTACCAAGCATCTATTTTATCAATATTATTTGTGGAAGTGGTCAAATATATCAGATAATCTATCTGTCTTCTACCTCCTCTTTCTCCCCTCCACCCCCCATCCCTGACCCCAGACCTTCTTGCATAATCCTTCATCCTCCTCTAGTATGGAGTGTTTTTTTTTTTTTTTTTTCCTTCCTCTACTGTCTGGAAATTTCATATGATAAGCCTTTGGTGAGGATGATTTGTGAAGGTGACAATGGGCCCTTTCTAAATCTCAGGGAATTGTCTACCCATTTTAAGCAATTTTATGTAGGGCACCTGGGTGGCTCAGTCAGTTAAGGGTCCAACATTGGCTCAGGTCTTGATCTCGTGGTTCATGAGTTTGAGCCCCATGTTGGGCTCTGTGCTAACAGCTCAGAGCCTGGAGCCTGCTTGATTCTGTGTCTCCCTCTCTCTCTGCCCCTCTGCTGCTCGTGCTCTGTCTCTCTCTCAAAAATGAATAAACCTTAAAAAAAGTTTAAAAGTAACCAATTTTATGTAACAATTTTAAATAAGCAGATTTTGAAAGTGTATTTTAAATATTTAAATTACCATTCAAGGACTGCCTTTATTTTCTGGTTGACTAGATTTTCATAGTAGGGTAAAGGGAATTCTCCTAATAATGGATAAAGTACCACATCTGGATGCCTAAAGTGTCTGGTAATTAAAAGAAGCATTTGCTAATATATAATCCAACTCCTATTTTCTGACATGTATATTAATCTTAGGGTGAGTTATCTAAATTTTGAATCCCAGATAATTATTAAGAATATATTCTCAGATAATTTCTTGTGTACTTGTCACTATGAAAACTAGTTTTTAATATATGAAGTTAAGTGTAATTTTAAGACACAAAATATGTTTTAAAAGCTTGTTTTACATACTGTTTTTTGTTAGCTGCCTTAGAAGCATTACACGATAATAGGGAATTAACTATCCAATAATACCTTCCCTCCTTGATACTTTATACATGTCGAATATTTGGTTAATTCTCCTGGATCCTAAGTAGGGCAATAGCATTGTTTTAGTTTACTGAAGTGGAAATTAAGGCCATTGCAATTCATGATTAGGTCTTCTTATGCGGACTTCTTATTCTCAGATAATGCATTATCCTGTAAAGGAGGATACATGTTTTCCTAAATAATCCACTATATAAAGCAGGAATGGTGCTGACTCTTTAGAGAAGGAGAACTTATTTTCAGTGTTTTTCAGTATATTTTAATCCTATTCCTTTTGAGATTGATGCGATTCAAGGGGCATGCTATTCAGTTGAATTCTTGTGAAACATAGCTCTATACTTTCATTTGATTATTTTTTTTTTAATTTCCTAAGAACATCACTGGAAGAAAACAGTGTTTCTGAATCCTTAAGATCTTAGTTGAAATGCTCAGCCCTGATAGCCTGTACAGGCAGAGATGCAATGTCTGTGATCAAATCCTCCTCCCAGAATGCACTGCTATTGGAATGCCCCTGACCTCTGTCTAGATCTAGTTTTGAAACAACTACACATCTCAGGATGCATCACCCCTTCACCCTTCCTTTTCTGTCTTCAGTCATATTGTCCACTCAAAGTTGTGGACAGACATAGGAGTGGTAAATCCCCAGGGGCAGGTGTAGTTTGACCTGTTTGCCCGAGATTTTCCCCCCAGATTTTTAAGAAATTGGGTGGTGATGGGGTTCACACTGAGGAGTAGTAGAAAGCAGAGAAACACCTAATGGAGATTATGGCAGGATTCCTAGCTGGTTATCAATGGGCTGGTTGCTTACTTCCCTACTTGACGTCCTAAGACTTATAAAATTGAAAGTGCTTTTCTAATATCTCCATTTCAACTTCCTTCCACATGTAGAGAGAGTGTTAGTGGTTAATTTGGTGTGGTAACTTATTTCCATCAGTTTTCAGGGATTTTCCCAGGATTTTAGTAGGCATGATGGATTCTAAAGCTGTTCTCTGGGGATGCTGTACGTTTCTCCTGAAATTGTAGATGCTTTAAAATGAATGATTTTGCTATTTGAGTGTTTTGTATAAGGGATTTCTTGGCACTTACACTTATACTGTATTACTGGAAATTATCAAAAATAAATGTGTTTACTCAATCACCTAACTATGAAAGCATTTGGTTTGTTTCATCAGTTAGATTCAACATCACCTCTCTCTGAGGAACGGTTAAAGTGTCTTCTGGATGAATGCACACTCAGACAAAAATCCATGATTAGACTTTCTTCAGAAAGAGAAAAGGAAGACGTAGAGGATTCAACAGCCCAGTCCCCCCATCTTTCCAGATCTGTCCTCTCTGAGCTACTAAATGGGTCAGAAACAAAAGTCACCAGCACAGAGGTAAAAGATGCAAATATGTCTGAGAATGCAGAATGTGAAACATGTACAGGTTACTATCTCACCAAAGCCTTGACTGGGCATTACATGTCTCAAGCACTTGTCATCGAAGCAGAGAATTTGAGATGCCTCCCATTTCCCAAGGACAAGGTTATTAGTGACACAAAGGACTATTTTATGTCGAAGACTATTGGCATTGGGAGACTGAAAAGGCCCTCTTTCTTGGATGATCCACTGTATGACATCAATGTGAGCCTTTCATCTGAAGACCATCGTCTGGAAGTCAGCTCTCCAGAGAAACCAAAAATGGGTAAGGCGTAGAAGATGTGTATTTTGGTGAATAATACTAAGCATCTCAATATAAAGGTGTTATAGTTTAAGGTAGAACAGGATAGGAAGTCATAGATGGTGTCAATAGCATGCAACATAACAAACTTATCAATGTTTGTATGAGATCAAGGTTAGAATTAGTGCTCTTATGAGATATATTATTCCTAATGGTAATTAATACATATTCTGGGTGGCTATACAGGAAACGGTGATGATTTCAGAATGAAAGAGAATTTAGTTTGGACAGATACAAATAATTTGGATAGTTTGCTTAGTCTTTTAACTTCCAAATTTCAGTGATGAGAATTTATTCCAAGGGATGAATTTGTAAAATGTGAAATGCATTTTATTAGTGGTTTTATTAGTTTCTACACAAGTTCCCATCCCAGCTACTTGTATGCACTCAGGCATTTTGTCTTGATCCGGTGTTGCATTTTACAGTGGTACAATGGTACAGGTTATAAACACTACGGATATTTTTTGACATAAACAAATATTCAATTATTTATCTAAGTTAGAAGTCTAACATAATCCGTGTTGTATGTGGTAAGTCTATTTAAATAGCCTCAACTTTTCCTCTAATGTAGATAATGCTACTGATGATGTTTTCTATTAAATCTATATCTTTCTATAATTATCTATATATTACCAATGAATTCTGTAATCTATTAATTCTGAACTAACTCCCCAGTCCCATATTTCTAACTGCCTGCTAGCCGGCTCCATGAGGTTATGGCCTCAAACTGATTTCCTCATCTTTCCTTTTCAACTCAGATTTTCCTCTTTTCTTTCTGTTTCCTCACTCACCCAGGTTCTGTTTGAGTCATCATTGAATCTCCTGTCTCTTTTGCTCCCCACCTTCAACCTTCAGTATTGTTTGCTCTACTTTTGCAGTGTTTCCCATGCCCATCCCTTCTTTGTTCTTCCTGCTGCCTCAGCTGGACCAGAGTAAAAACCCTCTGATCTGATCTGGTCCATCCTCCCCGCCTCTGATCTCTCACCTCCTCCAGCCCCTGCTGACCCCCACTAAACAATCCCCTCCAAAGTACAGCTTTGATAGCCACACCTCCCAGCTCAGAAAACTTCTTGAGCTCTCCACTGCCCGCTGAATGACACCCGAATTCTTTCCCTTGATGTTCAAGGCCTCCACAGTCTGACTTCAATCTCTTTGTAATCACTCTCTACCTAGTTCTCTAAATGTTATTCAGGTTATGGCTAATCTGGTCTCAGGATTTCCAGTGCTTTCCTCTGCCCCTGTATTAGCCCCTACTCTTTTCTTCTGAAGAATGTTCAGGTACCCCCTTCAATGGCAGATGAATTCCAACCCCATCCTTTCTGAATGTAACCTTCCTTGTTTCTCTCCATTAAACGTTTGATTTCTCCTCTGAATGTCCAAGAACATTGGTCCCCTATCAGATCATTTCACACATACTGTCGTGAAGTTGTTATGCACACACACTTTCTCTTCCTTAGAATTGTGTAGTATTTTTGAGGACAAAGATCCTATCTTTTGATTTATTGTTACTTCTGTGATGTCCAAAGTGCTGTCCTAAACCAAGTGCTTATTTAATAAATGAAACAATTTAAATTATCCAGTTTTAGAATAATATGCTGAAAATATAGTTCACGCTTATTCTTCACAGTGTGAATGAAAGCAGGTGGTATTGCTTAAGAGCTATGTAAGCCTTGGGGCACCTGGGTGGCTTAGTGGGTTAAGCGTCCAACTCTTGATTTTGGCTCAGGTGATGATGTCACAGTGGTGGGATCGAGACCCATGCGGACAGCCCGGAGCCTGCTGGGGATTCTCTCTCTCTCTCTCTCTCTCTCTCTCTCTCTCTCTCTCTCTGCCCCTCCCCCCACTGTACTCTCTCTTTCACAAAATAAATAAATAAATAAAAAAGGAACTATGCAAGTCTCACATTCTCTATAAATATTTGGAACTTTCCCCCTTTTTAAATGAAATTTTACAAGCTATGAAGTTTTTACCCAACAGCAGTGTTCATTTTTACAATACGCAATTCGATTAGACGGCTGCATTATGCATATCCCCACTAAGGATCTTCATTTAACAAATGAACTATGAAAACTTTGTTCTATTCTCAAATTGCAGTATATTTTCTTTCTTTTTGGATAAAGGGTTGTCATCAGAGAAAGTATCTCTTCTTTGTCTACTGTAGGCAAACCTGCTAACTTTGTGATTTATTGTATTTGGGATCCCGTTCCCTTGGTAAGGGGGTTTAGAACAGCACTTTGCTAAACTATGACTTTGCTTCTATGGGAACTTGAGTCACACTGATGTATATCTGCTTCTGAGCAGAACATAACACGATGGAATGAACTAGAACTTAACATGGCTTGCTGGAAAGAAGCTGTGAGGGTTTACCTACAACTTCATGGAACATGCCTCTGAAGGCACCAGATAACCCTGATGTACGATTAGCACAACTCTTGTGAGTTTGGAGGCTTGAGATGGCCTACATGTGAATATGTGAGCCACATTTTATTTTCTGTTTATTACATTTTTGTTTGTTACGTTTCTGTTTATTACATACTTTAAGGCATAGGTTCTGCACGATCATTTTGAGTGCCTGTCAGCGTATCGGAGGTTGGAGTTTTTCACTTTACTAACCTCAGTGTTCAAGATCGAAATACTTTGCTAATCAATTTTATTCTAAAATACTAAATGGAAATTTTATGATTTCTACCAAAGTGAACACCAAAACTGAATGCCAAACCAGTTTTCTTGGCAAAAAGCCCTTTATGGACGTGACTTTAATGAGGAATAGCAGTGTTTTCAGCTGCAACATTATATTCAGGTCTTTCTTAGGAAATAGACACACGTGAATGTGATTCAGAGCAGATTTCGAGAAACAGGCAGGAGTGAATGAGAAAAACCATTTATCATTTTCTCTTTCAGTAGCAAGTACTATTGTATATAGTAGTCTTTTTCTTGATGAACCAAGGTCTGTCACAAGTATTAGAATTCTTCTAGAAGGCAGAGTCAGATACAACTTCAAAAAGAGAACCAAACTGAATGCCACTGAGGTCCAGTTTAAATCGTGGTATTGAAAAATAAGGATTTGCCTCAGAGCTGTATTAAAAGTTCCATTTTTCTTGTGCTTTCAGCTTAGCGGTAACTACTGATAAAATTTGACTTTCTGGATACAAGGTCCAGTGAATTCAGTGTTGCGCTCACTCACTGTGGGGGCTTCAGGGGACGATAAATAGGGTTTTCTTTTCCCCACCCAGGTCGGAACCAACTTAGAGATAGATGGACTGTGACGGATGCAGAATAAGGAGGTTGGCTTCATTGCTGATGAAATGTAGGGCGTTGTCGTGACCTGTGTAGGCAGCCAAATGGTCTTCCGAATGCTACGTCCTCCAAGTGAACTCACACACCCAGTCACTGGCAGAGGTGAAAAGACTCAAGCCTCACCTGTGGAAACCTGTCCATGTGGAACCAATAGCCTGGAGGAGTCAAGAAGCACCCTTGGCGGGGGAGGGGTGGTGTGCTAACTCCTGTGGAGGAAGTGGCTGAGCTGAGCTGTTTCTTCCCCCAAACTCACTGGTCAGAGAACTGGCTCTTTTCCCTTGTGGAGAGTGGAGCAGGCTGGAACGAGGCTGGATGTTTCCCCAACGTAAGTTTTTCCACATCCAAGTGTGAGGAGAGCAGGGAGTAATTGTTCTCTGGTACCACCTAACCTCAGAGGCACCACGGAGTGTGCTGGAACTTCAGAGAAAAAGTCCTTCAGGTCTATGGTTAGTCTAGTATTTGATCAAATTATCTTTTTTTAAAACTGTTTATTTTTGAGAGGGAGTTGGGGGGGGGGCGGTCAGAGAGAGAAGGAGAGAGAGAATCCCAAGGAGGCTCTGCCCTGAGCCCTATGTGGGGCTGGAACCCATGAACCGTGAGATCATGACCTGAGCCTCAACCGAGAGTTGGACGCTCAGCCTACTGAGCCACCCAGGTGCCCCTACTCAAGTTCTTATGTTGACTTGCTTTCCAGATAATCCAAACCAAAAGGCATCCGTGCATGGACAGCATTCTCTTTTTCCCACTAAGTGTTTGAGCTCCTTGTCAACAGAAGTTCATATAGTAAAGAGGAAAATATGAATAACAAAAACAAAAATAATAGAATAGGGCAAAAAGGGACATGAAGCCTGTCACGTAGCAAAAAAAAAAGGGGGGGGTCAGAACTATACTAACTCTTCAAGGAAAACAAAATTCAATTTCCTTCCCATAGGACCCATATGATGAATAGTGCTTTTAAAAATTTCTGTAACAAATGAGTCAGATAAGGTTGTTTTAAAAATAACAACCCTAGGGTTTTGGAGAGGGAAGATGGCGGCGTAGGAGGACGCTGGGCTCACCGCGCGTCCTGCTGATCACTTAGATGCCACCTACACCTGCCTAAACAACCCAGAAAACCACCAGAGGATTAGCAGAACGGAGTCGCCTGAGCCAAGCGCAGACGAGGGGCCAAGGAAGAGGGTAGGAAGGGCGGCGAGGCGGTGCGCGCTCCACGGACCACCGGGAGGGAGCCGGAGCGGAGGGGCGGCTCGCCGGCCAAGCAGAGCCCCCGAGTCTGGCTTGCAAGAAGCGGAGGGGCCTGACGGACTGTGTTCCGACAGCAAGCGCGACTTAGCGGCTGGGAGGTCATAAGTTAACAGCTCTGCTCAGAAAGCGGGAAGGCTGGAGGACAAAGGGAAGGAAAGCTGCTGAGCCCCCGGACCACAGAGCTCAGTTTGGTGGGGAACAAAGGCGCTCGCCAGCGCCATCTTCCCCGCCCATCCCCCAGCCAAAATCCCAAAGAGAACCAGTTCCTGCCAGGGAACTTGCTCGCTCCGCGCAAACACCCAACTCTGCGCTTCTGCGGAGCCAAACCTCCGGCAGCGGATCTGACTCCCTGCTGCTGCCACAGGGCCCCTCCTGAAGTGGATCACCTAAGGAGAAGCAAGCTAAGCCTGCCCCTCCTGCCC